CAGAGGAGCACTTTGTAAACACTCCAATATGGCACAAATTGACCAACGATTTTTGAAGGTTTTAGATGCACACACGTTTTAGTTGCTTTGTATGTGTTAGTGTACGGATTTATATGTATGCAGAACCAAGAAAATTTAAAAAAGGAAACTCTTGAAGCTGGTTGTGACACCGTACATGGAAGCACTAATCGTAATAACTATATGGACATATGTACATATGTAGGTACTTGGACAAAATATATGTTATTACATGTAACATGGCAAGGAGTATAGGAGGATGTACGTACCAGTATATACTTAGTATGTGGAGACACCCTGAGTGCATTCTGTGTACGGATACTTGAATTCAATTGCAAGTTGTAAACTTCAGGTTTTTAGATACTTACTCGTACATATACACCTCATTTAAAATTTTCTTCTCCTTTAGTATAATGGTAATGCAGTTTAAAATGTAATACTAAAAGAAAATTTAAGCGATGATGGCTGGTAACGTCAATGAAGTTACTCTTACAAGTTCAAGCAGTAGGTATTACATATTTACTTAGTAATGATTTACCTAATGGAAAGGAGAAATTTATGGCATGCACCGAACATAACAGTTATTGATGAAAACTGTCATGGAAAAATTCACTATGAAGGAAATGTTCTACAACAAAGTGATACAAATAATTCGAAAATATTTTACAAGAGAGTTGCCACCTGTCCAAAAAGTTAAAATTCAAATCAAATATTTGTATATGGGTTTCAAATGAGAATCATTTAAGAAAGTTCTATTTCTGAAATATTTTCGAAAAGGGCTGCCACCTGTTTAGCAATTTAAAATCAATTCATTTAACAAGCTAAATGAAATATTTTTAAATATATGTAAATGCGGGTAGCAATCGAAAGTTTTAATAATCTTTATTTTGAAAATATTTTTGAAGGAGTTGCCATTTGTTAAGTAATTATATTCCATTTCATCGACAAGTTAAACGATATATTTTTATATGGGTGCCAAACGTGAGATGTTTAAGTAAGCTCTATTTATAAAGTATTTTTGAAGAGGGTTGACAGCAGTTTTAAAAGTTCCAGTTAAAATTAAACAGAGGAAAATAGAACAAGCTAAAGTGGGCATCCAGCGGAATAAGTTAAAGAATGCCTTTTTTACCATCCAGTTAAGTAAGAGCATAAAAATGATCAGAGAAGTGGAGTAAATTACTTTTTTTGAAAATCTCATACCTTCTAGGATAGAAATAAGGATGCAAAATATTATTTGCCTTACCGTTTATTTAGAGGACTAAGTTCTGAAAAAAACGGTAACCTTTTTAAGAGGTGTTTTTGTTAGAATAATTTGAGATTGCTGAACACTAATTTGGTATTCTTTAATTTTTCCAGAAAACGCTTTTCCAGATTGTTATTGGCGAAAACTTTGCTATATGTTAGAATACCTGATACTGGCTTCTTTCATACACATATATGTATTACCTCTTAAGCTTATTACCCTTACAGATATTGCTCTCCGGGCAATTAAACTTTCAAGAGGACACTAAGCAAATGGCGTGTCACGCATTCTCATAATAAAACTGAATACTTTATGTGTCTGCATTTTCCTGCGCATTGAAATGAATAACAAAAAGATGGCCTACATTAGGGCGCCTATTGTAGAAGCGAGTATCTACAATGGACCATAGCAGAAAGTGACCTCCAAAGCTTGTAGCAATTTGCATGTGAAATCCGCTAGAAATTACTTTCATTTCAAATGTATACACATACATTCATCTATATATGGGGAATTCCAGCTCAATTCGTACACAATTTCAATTTTTGCATCTCCGATTTTTTCGCATAATTTTTCATGTTATGGTACCCATTAAGAGAGGCCGCACTGCTTTTTTTTAATTTTTGGTGCAGCCGTTTTTGAAATATTGCAAAAAAAAATTAAATGCCAATAACTTTGCGAAAAATGTGCCGATTTGTAATAACTACTTTTGAAATGAGGAGGAAATGTCTTTAGAACATGATAGATATAAATATAGACGCAATGAAAAACATAACACTGAATAATGAGATAAGTTATGCCATGTTATGTTATCCTATGTTATGTTCTGCTACGTTATGTTATGATATGTTATGTTATTTTATGTTATAATATTTTATGTTTCGTTATCTCATGCTATGGTATATTACGTCATGTTTTGTTATGTTATGGTTAGTTATTTTATGTTTTGTTATGTTATATTATGTTTTTTTTTTAGATTATATTATGTTATGTTACGTTAGGTCTTGCAATGATGTGTTGTTCAACGCATCTCACCTCAACTAACCTCTCATCAGCTTTTCTCATTTCAACTCTACTAACCTCACATCAACTTCTCTCAGAGTTTTTAAACTTAAACTTAAACTCTTTTGTCGTCTGAGTGGATTTTTTCCAAAAAATCCTTTAAGAAACTATTTTTATTCATAAAAAAAAAATCATTTTTAGACGTATTTTCAAACCGGTTTAGCTCACGTAAATCTTACCATTTTTCTGAAATATTTTGGTAGAAGTCTTAAAATATACTAGGTTTAGTAATCCCGCCGGAAATACCGCAACTTTTTTTGGTGATGCAGACTAATGTACAGTAGTCGAAAAAATTATAGCCGCTCCAAATTTTGACAATTTTCATATTAGTTTTGTTGTTATTTAATTTTTTTTAGTTTTTTATAGTTCATTCTTTGACAACACCCGTATAAATACAAGTTTAAAGGCAGTGTCACACGATTGGGTATTTGCAAAAATTTGGTGCAAATCGTATCCCAAATATTTTTCTTCATACCAATCACGAAAATTAATTTGTTGAAATTTTTCAATAGAACATCGCTATATTGTTCCAATCTTTTGACTACAAAAAAAATGTTCCTTTTTTATTTTGTACCAATAGCCCAATATAAAAATGTACCAATCTGTACAAATGTACCAATCGAGTGCCACTGCCTTAACAAGTTATGCAATAAAAAAAAAAATCAACAAATTTTTGTAAAAATTTCGAGTTTTGTAATTAGATTCTGTATGCAGTTTTGTAGCCTATTGAATAGAGTAAAAGTTTCAATTAGCTAAAAACTACGATTGAGTTTTTAGAATTTTTAAAAAAGCTCGAAATTTGGACGAAAGTTTGTTAATTTTTTTTTTAATATTGCACAAATATGGAAACTTGGATTTACACGGGTTTTGTTAAAGAATAATCTAAAAATTATGAAAAATTAAAAACGCAAAAAATATATGGTGTCCGAATTGGGCTGGAACGCCCCATATAAAAGTTTATTCGCAAGTAAGTACTATCAAAAATTTGTGGCGTGTGAAGCTACTGATAGCACAGCTAAACAAGCACACTTAACAGACATTGCAAAAGCCTGAGTATTTTTTTCTGCATAAGTAAACAATGTAACACAAAAGCCAATGCGACAGCTATGTACTACGTGTAAACGCATCTAATGCATGGCAAATTATTATTTCAACAATTTTACACGTAGTTTCTATTAAAATTTAATCCGCCAGCTAAGCAGCAGAGCAAGCTGCTAGTAAGAAGCAACAAAAAAAAAAACGACATTGCGTATACGCCTTGTTGGCTGCTGCGCTTTAACAGTAATAGCTGGCTCGGAAATTGCTGCCACTGCCTAGGGATGTGGTAATTATGAATGCCTGCTTGGGTCGCCGCATGCGTGAGTGTGTGTGTGTGTGACAGAGGGATGGAACATGGCGTGCTGAAGGAAATGCGTGCCGTAGCTAAAAAATCTCAGGTTACAGCTTAAGTGCTTACACGGCGTAGGCTTTATGCGGCTCAATCGGTATAAGTATGCTGGAAGTTGGTAAAACACGTTTATAAAAATCTTTGCCGCCAACGCGCAGCAGAAGAGAGGCGAAAGCATATTAAGTCGGAAATGGAAAATTTTAAATCTAAATAAATAAATTTGTTTGTATGCCTCGGCACGCTTAAGGGTAAGCGGCTGCTGCTGCTGCGGCTGCCTACTTGATGACTACCTGCGGTGGTGGTAAGCATTTTTGACACACTCTTTACGCGCGGCATTGAAATAATCTATTTAGTTTGGGAAATCGCGTAGGGGAGGCCACTGAACTAAAGTGCAGCATAGAGAAGGGGTTTCGTACAGGCGAAGGCCGAGTTTTGAACTTTCGACTCGCTTGTGGCGGGCGAGCGCCTGTTGCTATTAATATTTGCACTGCTGGTTTTGTTGTGCGCGCTTTATGAAATTTAATTACGCACGTAAGCACACACACACACACACCCACATAAATAGCGGTAAAGCAAAGCAAAGCCAGGTGAAGCAAATTAAACAAACTGCCATTTTGAACGGCAGCTAAGCCAACCACGCCTGCTTTGCGGCAGCAAAGGCGGATATGCACAAGTAGGCGGTAATGAAATTCGTTATAATTTAAATGGATGCGTCGGAAATGTTGCTTATAACATACGTACATACATACATATATACCGTAAAATAGCGCACATAGTCATGGCCACGCACTACGCTCTATTTATATATATAAATATTAGTAAATATTAACTCGTGCATCCTGAAATGTGCGATTTTTCATTTTGAATGCTTGTCACATGAATTTCGACGCATCGTCGCATGGCTTAAATGTTGCGTGCATGGAAAATTTTCGCATTTGAATTAACGTTAATTTCCATTAGGCGCACCACACCACACAAGCTTCATCCATCCAGCCTATTCATTTTCCTGCGTAAATTTTTATATGTATTGGGGCTATGTTCTTATTTCATATTTATGTATCGTTAGTTAGTACACAGCACGTCGGTTTCACATAAAATTTGCACATAAATTTGCTGCGCTAGAATTTTAAATGAATATTTGTCAAAGTAATTTGTGTCGGCTGCACGTGCGCCTAGCTGTAGCGTACAGTTTGGTATTAATTAGTTGGTTTATTTTTTGTTGTTGTATTAGTTGTGCACCACGTTTGGTGTAGTGCTTGGCGCGCGTCGTCCTCTCATGGGATATTTACTTACCGTTATTTTTAGTCTCGCTACTGGTGGCGATTCCAGTGATTCGAGTATTGCTGTGGCACTGTTGTAATTACCCACAAGCAGGCAATATTGTGCGACGCCACTCCATAATTCGACTGTTTTACTGCGATCGCGTATGCCGATGCACTGCAAGAAAATTATGAAAAACTTATTAGAGTGCTGCGAACTTATATACATATTTTGAGTATTAGTGTCACACTTTGTTTTCAGAACTTTTAGAAAAATTTTAGGTAAGCAGTTTTACAGCCCACAAAATTTTTGTATAATAAGGTGAAATTTTGAAGTTGCTAAAAATCGCATTGATTTTTTACAATTTATTTTTATCCGTTCTTCCATACACTGAGAAAAAAATCTACCAAAAATTGGTTAATATTACCAAATTCAAACTTGAAAAGGAATCAGTGTGATTTTTGGTTAATATTAACAATGCTTTGGTTGCTGTTTTCAACAATGATTTGGTAATATTAACCACACTTTTGTTTACATTAACCAAACTTTTTGATGTCGATTTTTTCGTTTGAATACGTTTATGTTCTGCACTTCACAGGTGATTTTCCATAATTCAGAGATACAAAATAAACATTTTTATTATCATTTTAACAAGTTGCCTCTTACGATATTTGAAACCGCATCTTCTGAATGATTAGCAAATAACAACAAGCATCTCTGCACACTCAGCTACAGCCGCTTTATAAATCTGCCTTCAAATGTTCAACCTGAATAAATTTTTTTCGTCCTTTGATTTGGTTCTGCACTGCACAGAGGCTTTTTCGTAATTAAGAGAAACCAAAAACAAAAAAAAAAATATAAATTATGTTTCGCGCTAACGGCTTCGTACTGCTGGTGGCCAACAAATAACAGCAAGCACCTCTGCACGTTAAGCCACTGCCATACATACGTATTTGTTCTCAAATGTTCAACTTGAATCAAATTTCTTACAGTCGGCTTATTAACCATGAAAAAATCAAACCATAACTTGGTTGTGCTTTTGGCTCAGTGTATAAAAAAATATTCGAGCATGTGTAAAGTAGAAAAGTAAAATTAAGATATTCATTGTTTTGGAGTACCTTGGTAGAAGGTAATACGTGTCCGGCATTTAAGCATGGGATTATCTTAATCCGAGTACCCAGGTAAAGGATTACTTACATAACAAGGGTGTAAGATAATGATAGATTAAGGTTTAAGTACTAGTTAGGTTGTGCTTGTATAAGTACAAAATGTACGTATAAACGCGAAGGATATTTATTTTTATTTCCTGTTTGTTTTTTT